TTTCCTTTCCTTTCCTTTCCTTTTTTGCTTGTTGCTCAATTTTTATTTCTTGGTATATCTCCCCCTTCCCCTCTCTGCAAAAAAAAAAAAAAAAGTGTATAGGTCTGTGACCAAAACAAAGTCTCTTTCCCCCTCTTTCCTCCTTCTTTCTTAAATGGAAGCTCCACAAAAATGAAAGAAAGTGAACATTAAAAGGGAAATCCCAATCACTGAGGCTGTCATTGATGAATTTTGTTGGTTCTGAGCCTTAGCGGGAAGACCAGTGGCCTAGATTGCAAAGGCTTTGGGAAAGAGTGGCTGTAAATTTAAGAAATAAACATAACGGCTGTCACAAGGTTGCATTTCTGCATTTGTTGTTTGTCTCTCTTGGTTCTATACCATCAGAATCCAGAGTCTGCATCTGAGACAAGTTTTGGTTCTTTTAAGAAGGATGGGGAGATTGAGGCCCACCTGGCATCAGGGATCATGGGACTTGAGTCCACATTCATCCCAGTTGGTGGTTCTTCATTTTTGTGAGATGAGGGGGTCTAAAGATAAATCACATTTACACACCATTCAAAAGAGACAATAAAAAAGCTAAGAAGGAAACAAAAAGACCAGAACAGATCCTCTCCATCCGCCAACACCCAGATAAGCAGGGATTAACACCAGACAAACAATCAAGCAAGCAGAAAACAATACCCCAATCAAGGAACTACCAAGGAGAAAACCACACCCCCACCAACACTGGGAGGGCAAGCTACTGTATATAAACAGGGAGCAAACCACTGGGAGGGCAAGCTACTGTATATAAACAGGGAGCAAACCACTGGGAGGGCAAGCTACTGTATATAAACAGGGAGCAAACCACTGGGAGGGCAAGCTACTGTATATAAACAGGGAGCAAACCCCACACTCACTAGCATTGATGTTGTTACCTTGTCGGGCAATGAAATGTCTGCAAGCAAACAACCAAGCTTGGAGAGCACCAAGGACTCCACAGAACAAGATGTTGCCAAGCCCATCTGTCAGCCTTTCAAGGTAGACCAGACTAGGAAACCAAAGTTACATATCCTAATACTACTTTTATTATCAGGTTATAGTTAACAGAATCTTGCAAGTCTGAATACCCTTCATGAGAACTAGGGAGGGGCTTGTCTGAGATGCTTTCTCAGGTTACAGTTCTGACCTGGACTCAGGTTTCTTTTATCTGACCATGGTCTTGGTAGCAGCTCTTCCTCCTGTTCCTCAAGGTTATTCTTGCTACCCATTACACCATCATATGTTTCTCACCTATTGCTGTAGAATTCTTAAGTCCTGTGCCTATTCTTGGGACACAGAATAATTTGATAGGATGAGGTTGTCTTGTTTATTTTGCTTGCAGGGAGTTATGGGACATCCAGGACTCCAAGGGCCAAAAGTAAGTTTTGCAAGATGGTTTTCATTGATATTTCAAAGTTAACATATCATGGCAACAGCCTGGGGATTTCCTGCTGATTGGTTCACCAGATACCCCAGGTTAAAATTAACAGGGAGAAAATAAATTCTTTCTTCTCTTGCTCCACACTCTGAATAATTTTGGATACTGTACACTGTATCCCCACCTAAGGACATATCTATGTATAGTGTGTGTATATATGTGTGTGTAAACAAGTGAAACTGGGCTGAAAGTTGCTACAAATATTTCTGACTTTTAAAAAAAAATTGAATTATCTTTAATTAGCTAAGCAAAAAGTCTGGTCCATGTTGCTCTTAGTTCTGTTTTTCTAGGGAAAGTTTCTTCTGATCCATGAGTCGCTTGAAGAAGGAATGACACTCTTGTTGTTTTCTCTTTAGGGGGAACAAGGATTTCCAGGGACAGAAGGACCCACTGGCTTAAGGGTAGGAATGTCCACAAAGATATATATGTGGCATGCTTAATAGGAAAGAGAGAGCAGAACTTTTAGTTTGCCTTCTCCAACCTCATGTCCTCCAGCAGGGGTATGTGGGAAAAAGTCAAGGTCTTCATCTGGATGGTGAAGAATATTTGCTGTTCACTCTTCCACAGGACAGGTAGTCCTCGCTTATTGACTGTCTGGCTTAGTGACTGTTTGAAGTTATGATGGTATAAAAAAAAAAAGCTTTGTGACCAATCCTCGCATTTATGACCATCCCAGCATCCTGCAGTCACGTGATTGCCATTTGTGTGCTTCCCAACCTGCTTGCGATAAGCAGAGTTAATGGAGAAAGCAGAAATAAAATGGCAAATTGCGGTCATGTGATGCCTCACTTAATGACCATGGTATTCGCTTAATGACCAAAGGGGAAGTGAGGTCATAAGCCTGTCATGGTCACGTGATTTTCCACTTAGCGACCATGTCACTTAGCAACAGAGTTGACACTCCCAATTGTAGTAATTAAGTGAGGACTACCTGTATGAAAATTAAATATTTACTGGTTAATTCTCTTCTGCAGACTTACCATAAACAGGTATGTTTATTCTTTTATAAATCCAGGGTAAAAAAGGGCAAGATGGTGTCAAAGGAGAAAAGGTGAGTTACATTTTATTCTCTTTTCCAAGGGAAATTTAAACCCAGTTCTAAGACTATAACACCTGCACAATAACTCCTGCACCACATTTTCACCATGGCATTGATTGCATTCATCCACCATGAAGGTTGGACCCAGCAGCCACTTCACACAGCATGCTTGGCTTGTTTTAACCTTGCTTGGGTTCTCTCTGGCTTAACGTGTAATGCAAAACCATCCCATTTGTGGACTTTATGATGCAATGGATTGCAAGAACCCAGAAATGGGGTTAATTCAGGAACCAATTTAATGAACTCCCTAAATCGGACTCCATCTGTGGTTGCATGACCCTGAATTCTTGGAGTGAAATGGTCACGTCTTCATTTGAAACCCTTTGCTATGTTGAGGATCAGCTGTCACCCCTTTGAGTACCTTCACACGGTCTAAACTAGGCATTTTCAAACATTTTCAGGCCGCAGAACTTGATAGTTAAGAAAAAAAATCCTGGAACCCCAATCAAGAGGCAAAGCTCTGTTGTTAGAAAATTGGCTGCATTCAAATGAACGTGTTCCTCTTATTTTTCTTTTCTTTTTGCCCTTAGCCTGTCACAGAACCCCATCAACTTCTTGTAGACCCCAGGGTCCTGCGGACCACAGTGTGAAAATCCCTGGTCTAGCTCACACACAGGACTGCCTGTGAGGGCATGTGGGAATGACTTTGGGAGACAGGAGGAATATCTGCAGCCCAGGCAACGGTCTGCTAAGAAGCAGTTCAGTCTGCAGGCAGGAGGAGGGGGGACTTGTCTGGACTACCTCAAAGGCCTAGTATCAATCTTGGAAGACTCTTACTCCCTTCCTAAGAGAGGCAGAAGATCTCCTCTGGAGTTTTAGGAATGGCCTCCAATCCCCAGGGGACACTGCTAACTGCTGAGTGTGTAGCTGCAGTGTTGTTGTTATAGCACTGGCAGCGAGTGGATATACAAGTAACCAGTTTGCAGAATGCCATGATTGCAACTAACACAACAGCTGGAGCAGAATTTGCCTCAACCAGTGGTAGCACAACCATGAGTACTAACACTACCTTTATTGTAAGGTTACATTAAACAGAAGCTTGCAAGACTGAAAGTATTTCTCCCCTCCTTTTCTTTTACTCTCTGAAAAATTAGAGAGGGTCCCTTCTGAGATGCTTTCCACCCCCCTTTTCCTTCTGTGGGCTGAGATACCTCTTACCCGCTGGTTGCCCAGTCTTGCGGCTCTTCCTCCTGTCTCCCAAGGTCATTCCCACATATCATCACATCGCCTGAAGCTATGAGCTACTGGTTGGGTTTGAAGGTGCAGGAAATCTTTGATTTAGCAGTCCTTAGCACAGTGGACTTTGGAGGCCAGGAACACAACCTCTCCATATACTGTGTGTTTCTGTACCTGCATAAAATCCCATTTGTCATTTTGGGCTCATCAGACTTTTAAAACTACCCAAGCTTAGTGTGTGGTATGAACACCCCTGCAGGGGCTGTACCTGTTTTGAGTGAGCCTGTTGTCTGAGCGGGCCCAATGCCACTTCGCACACCCCACAACCCTTTTACTTTGCATGATCACCCGCCAAGTGGCAAGATTAACCAGAGGCCTTTCTATGCTGTATACTCTTGATGCTGAGAATTCAATAGCTAACTAGATATTCTTGGAGCGCCTAATGAGAATATATTTTGCACCCTTTGCAGGGAGAGCGTGGAGAAACTGGAGCAAAAGGTTCTCAGGGAATCACAGTAAGTCATCCCTCCCAAAGCTGAGTGATGCTCAGTGATGCTGCACCATTTGCTCACTCAAGGACTGTGCTGTGGCCAGCTCAAAACAAGCATTTCCCCGATGCAATGCACTGCCCCCAGTTTACCTGTGCATTTTTATGAGCAAGGGGATCTACTTGCAGGTTAACTTTTTTGACTTTCTAGAGCGCTAAAGCTGGGATTTTGCTTTGCACCAGGTCCTGTTTCTTTCTCCTGCTCTATTATCCTTTTTTAAAAGAGCCTTAATAAAAATATATTCATTAGGACAAAGATTCTGGAGACCCCGACTGTCTTCTCCTAAGTTAAAAAGTCAAACATTTCCATACCTTGCTACCCTGAAACTGCCAAGTGTTTGCAAAGGTGTGACAACCTTCAGTTGGTTTCCTGATGGTTCTCAGTGGAGGTGTTGGTGAGGGGGTCATAAAAGTCAAGATGATGTAAAAAAGGAAGGGGGCCTTCATTCATCTTGACTTTTTTGACCCTCCCCTGACCTTCCTGATTCTTAGAAGGTGTTCCTGGTTGCTTTGCCTTAATTGATAGATTGGTCAGAGAAAACTGACTACCATTAGATTATATTTTATGTGAAAGGTGTATCTTCTGCAGCTAAGTGGGTGACTCCGATCGGAAACACCTGTTGAGATGTTGCTGTGCTAAGATTTTCTTGAGTCAGTTCCTCCTTCCCTGTCTTTGAATGGTGGGGCAAAAATTTCAGAAGCCACGGTGGGGCAGAAAGGAAATCTTTCTGTTGCATTCTCTGTGTCAGCAAATGGTTTGCATTCATTAGAATCCATAGCAAAGAATATGGATCTATTGCAACTAACTTTCTTTTATGTATTGCCAATTGATTACTGAAAGGTGTATGCTGCCCTTGAAAGCCAGTTTTTCCTGTTTCAACCTATTCAATATCTATTCCCTTCTGAAGAACGCTCAACAAATGCTGGTAATTTAGGGCCAGTTTCATCTTTATCCCAATCCCTGAGAATTGTTCATATTCCAACATAATGTAGATGTGGTTCCAAACAAAGTGTTTCAGTAAATGAAATGTTGCAAGGTATTATTATTATTGCTATTATTATTATTATTATTATTACTATTATTATTATTATTAGGGACTTCCAGGCCCCGAGGGACGAAAAGGAGACCAAGTAAGTAAAAACTGAACAGAACAAGGAAAAAGATTGTATCTAGATTGTATTATTTCAGCCAGCAAATGAAAGATGGAATCTGTTAGAATGTCTCATTTAGGCATTCCAGTCTCCCCAAGGAGGTAAAACCCATCAAGATGATGGCTATAATCATGTGATCAAAGCCCTGCCCTCACATAAAAGGGGGTAAGGCTTTGTTCATGCAACTATGGTTACCGTCTTGATTTTTTTGACCCCTCCACCTGAAACACTCTTACCCGATGTATTGGGAGCTTGCAAATCCCTCAATATCTGAGAGTTAAGGTCCAACACTTCTCATGAACTTCAGGAGGAGCAAGGCTTCCATAAAGTAGAACCAGCTTTATATTCATAATAACATCACTATTAATTGATAGTTCATTTAGATTTAATGTTTCAGCCTCTTGCTACAATGCTGATAATGGATTTCTAATGTTCACGAAAAGTCATCATTGTTACTTAATCTCTCATTTAGCTTCAGTTTTCTGGCTTCTCGCTATTATATTTCTATTAACAGTTAATTGATTCATTCTTCATGAGGCCAAATGGCTAAGAGGGCAAAGTCTGATGGATTTGAAAGTTCAAGAAACTGAGATGATTCCTCTGGATTCCCCAAACTCCCAACTATTTCCATAGTTTGTTCTCCTCTCCTGCAAGTGGAGGTACTTGCTGAAGAAGAGAAGTCAAGCAGGGGAGGTTACTGGTAGAAGTCGCAACCTTGTGAATGCTTTCCACAAAACTGCAATTTCTATCTGAGCTAAACTAAATGGAACTGAATTGATCTGACTTGAGCTAGACTTTGGATGCTGGGGAAATTCTCTTCTCTCTAACAGCCAAAGCAGAAGTGGCCTCCAAGTCAAAGAACCCCATGGCCAGATGGGAGGGGGTGGACCTACAATTGGCCAATGGGAGCCTTACAGGTCACCAGGCTCCTCCTCCAGGCAAATCAGAATATTGGCATAGGAGGTCTTGTTCCATTTTCCATCTTGATCCAGCATCAGCCTGTCTTGGCATCAGGGTGGCACCGAGATGAAGGCTCCATTGTGAGGACATTTCTTCACCAAACAGTGAGCAAGCCATCTCTCTGTCAGAACAAGGAAAGTGTGTCGCCGAGACCTTCATCTAGCTGGAAGCATTAGCAAACTGGAGTTTGATCTTTTAAGTTTCGTCATACTTCTACACCTTTGAGATTGTTTTCCTTTGCAGCAATCACAGTAGCCCCATTCAGAAAGGAGGAGGTAGATAAATATTTATGCACAAATTTGCACCCTTTAAAATCCCATTCTTTTGCTTCCCTTCTGCTTAGGGCGTTCAAGGATTTCCTGGTGCACCAGCCATGGGGGTAAGTCTAACATTGTGGTGGTCTTGGTTGAAATGTCCCTAGTCTGAAAGATGAGGGCCCAGCCTCCTCAAGTTATTTCCTTCCCCCATTCCCTCAACAAAACTTACCTAAAGCCAATGTGTGGTCAACTTCATTTTTGGTTGACTTGAAACACGCCAAGAACCACATGAACTAGTCTATATTCTGCACCCTTCATGGGGGTGGAGAAAACATCTCAGACCTCCCCATTTTTTGGAACAGTAAAAGCAGGGGACGGGAGGGGTACTTTCAGACTTGCAAGATTCATGTGAGCCCTTTGTGGTTGTCCAGGCAAGTACTAACTCTATCTTTATTGTAAGGTTACATTAGCAGAATCTTGCAAGTCTGAAAGTACCCCTCCTCTCCTGAACATTAGGGAAAGTCCCTTCTGAGATGCTTTCTCCACCCCCCACCTGTCCTTCAGACTCAAATCTCATTTATCAGACCGTTCTCTAGGGTGTGACTCTTTCTCCTGTCTCCCAAGGTCTTTCCCACATGCCATTACAGGTTG